AAGACCTGAATGATCTTTTTCCTCTCGCCAAACCTGTTTTCTGAAAATCTATCAATAATTAATATAGTTATTAATAATTTAAATAGGGATTTTCTTTCCGCCCACGTTGAGTCGTTTTTTGTTTTTTTTTTTTTTTTTTTTGGTTGTTTTTTCGAAGCGATAAATATCGTCTGGTTTCTACAATATTTTCAGACAATTTAGAATAAGACTGCAAATCAACTGATTTTCAATAGGATCCACTAAATCACATTTTCAGCAAAGTTGATTTTTTTTTATTATTTTTATTTGCTTATGGATGCTTGGATAGAAATATAATGAAAAACTATCAATCATTAAAAAGATACTCATTTATCTTGAGCTGTCAAAACCCGTATTTCAACAATTGAAGCACAAATTTATTTCTATTCCGCCAAATGAATTGGCATCTAATACAATTAAATTGTTGGCAAGGTACAAATGATTACTAGTCCCACTTCTACTTCTATCCCCTTAGGATGTGATTTGAACGTGACTCTCCACAACTTCCTATCACTTGTAGGTCTTAGTACCAGGTGTCATTTTGTCATCCCAACCAGACGCCGTCCCGCCATACATTCACATTCGCCAAGTAAGTACAACGCTGCCGCCCCCTTAAACTTATGTCTTAGAATTGTCATGTGAGTGTCAAAATCACCAAGCCTTCCTTACTCATTAATTGTCTGAGAAATTCCAGCTCATTAAAAATAGAAATGTCATTTTTAATTTCATTTTCCTTAAAACGTCTTCCTTGTTTACGCACTCCGTCCATGATATTCTCATCATCTTTCTGTAGAACAACATTTCTGTTTAACTCAAATCATCCCTTCATTTCGGGGCAAATCTTTCAGCATTCACTGCAATATAGTAAAGCAGATGTTGTATAAAAGTTCAACAAACGAAATTTTCCTCTTTCTTTATACATGGCTTAGCTTCTGAAATGCATTTTTTTTTCTTATTGCAATCCACGTTGTGATTTCGGTATTGCGTTTTCTATTCTCTGATAAAAAGATTGCCAGACTTCTGCAAACCGAATATTTTACATTTATTTCGCTGCTAGCATTAAATTCTCTCTTTTTTGGAGCTTAGTCCTTTCTTCTAGCTTTCTTTTACTAGTCTCTCTAGAAAGTCACATAGTTTCCTTCTGTGTCTGCAATCAACCCAGTATCAGATGTGCATCTTATATTGTTAAGAATGAGATCGCTGATAACAAATCCTGGTTGAATCTCCAGCTCCATTAGGATAGATTTGGTGTAGAGTTCTGCAGATTTGGGGCCTTGAGCCAGAGTAATTACCGTAAATTTGAACGTACAATACGAGTTTTCAAGCCTAAGAAAATGTTTCTAAAACTACTGGTCGACTTATATGGCCGGGTATAAAGTTCAAACATTTAACATTGAGCTGTAAACAAGTGGAACGAGACTTCTAACAATTACTATTCACCACTTACTGTACCTCCAACAGGCTGCCACAAATATATCCCTCTAAAACTTGAGTTTGGTGAACATATTTGCATATTAACACAGAAATTAATATAAAATAATAAAATAGTAACACTAATACAGTTACTTTTTTTTGTTTACATCACTTATGCAAATGGCGGATACTGTCTTCCACAATAACATACGATACGTAGCAGTACACTCAAAAACTGGGGTGATGTGTAATCTACGGTATTAATATTTTATAGTTGATGCTGACTTAAATATGTTCATCATTGACCCTAAAATATTCGCTAAGTTAGACCGATACAATATGTAGAATTTACCTGGGTGTGTTGTAGGCTGTTTGCTAAACAATGCATATAGAACTATATTACGGTTACAGATTCAGTGTACTTGTAAGCGGTGTGACCTTATTCAGCTTTGTCACAGGATATCGTATACTGTAGCCTAACTTCATTTACTGGTAGGCCTAAGTTTTGGGCCACTGGTAGCCTATCGTATTTTTCGCGGTCGATTGCTGTCCACCACTTATCGTAGCTCCAGCAAGCTGACAAAAATAGATCCTACTAAAAGTCGTATTTGGTGGACATATTTAGTATATTAACACAGAAATTATGATAAAATAATAAAATAGTAACACTAATACAGTTACTGGTTGTTTGTTTACATCACATATGCAAATGGTGTTAACCATGTTCACCATAGTCTATGAATATAGAATACATCGCAGTACGTAATCTGTTCAATGAAACACCGTTAAAGATTAATACTCACGAGTCAGACACTCTACTGAATCCGCCTATATCGCCAATACCACCAGAGGCTGTTCCGTAATTATTCAGTCTTCGATATCAAAGGCTGCCAATGAATATACGAAAAAAAAACATGGCCGCCTTTATACACGTCGCATTGAATATTTTGAGCCTTCCGATTGGTTAACCCTTCTATTGGTGAACTATAAAATGAGTCAGTTCATTTTGGCTGGCTCACTAGTACTAGCTACCCAAAAATTCCAACAAATCGCGGATACTGTGTTTTACAATAATATTCGATACGTAGCAGTACAATCAAAAACCTAGTTGGTGTGATGTGTAATCTGTGGCAATAATATTTTATAGGAGTTGATGTTGGCTTTTATGTGATTATCAATAGAGCTGATGAATTTTAAATGTTCGCTAAGTTACACCGATATAATATGCGGTACCTTCAGGTGTGTGATGTAAGTTGTTTCCTATACAACGCATACAGTGTCTCAATATACAAGGAAGTGCTGTACCTTATCTAGTTTAGGCGCAAGTTGTCTTTTACTGTAGCCTAACTTAATTTACCGGTAGGCCTAAGTTTTTGGTTACTTGCAGCCTACCGTATGATTGGGGGTCGACCTATAGAGTAAGGATAGGTCTAACTCATAATATGGAGCTAAAACTCTTGAGATCGACTTATGCGCTGCAATTTACAGCAAATTTGAAGAAATAACTTGTCGGCCGCCTAGTACCAAATCCACGAACTAATGCTTTAAGCCGTGGGATATAGTGAATGGTGACTATTGGGAAGGGCAATACGTATTTTGGCGTCGACTGACGTAGCAGATTGAAAACAGGAAATGAACGAGATGTTCCTATATAGGTTTAGCAGAATGAGAACAATCTGACAACGACGTTTAAAATCCCGTGAAAGTTACTCGGACCGAGAAGTACCTGATGATGGCCGAAAGGGAACAACGGTCGAAACACTATGGCAATAACAACGAAGATAAGGACAATAATTATAACACTTCATCTGAGGAATTCTGAAATAAATTAAACATTTCAAATCATAAATATTTCTGTGTAAGTTCTTTTTTTATATCATCAATATTTCGGATCTTTCGGATCTTTGAAATATATTTACCCTCCTGAGTATGACGAGAAACTATATCCAATATCAAGGCCTGTAATCCAGAGACTGGATGTGTCTGAGGTTCGTAGAACCCAACTTTTAACTGTTATTGTTCACAGGTCCAAGCTGACACAAGGTTAGAGTCCCAGATATCGGCAAACAAAACCCAACAGTACATATTTATAATAAGTGAAGTGATATTACTAACAATATATTTTTATAATAAAATGGCCAATAAAATATTTCATAGTGAAATTACCAGAGATATATTTTTATAATAAAATGGCCAATAATATATTTCATAGTAAAATTAACAGCAAAGCATTTTTATTATACAATGGCGAATAATATTTTTCATAGTAAAATTACCAGCCAAACATTTTTATAATAAAATAGTCAATAATATATTTCATAGTAAAATTACCAGCCAAACATTTTTATAATAAAATAGTCAATAATATATTTCATAGTAAAATTACCAGCCAAACATTTTTATAATAAAATGGCCAATAATATATCTCATAGTAAAATTACCAGCCAAACATTTTTATAATAAAATGGCCAATAATATTTCTTTTAACAAAATGACCAACAATGAATTTTTTAATAAGATGACAATCAATACAAAACTAAAAAAGTATAAGTATTTTTTTTTATATTAAGTGACAGGGAGTGCTGTCTGGCCTCACAAAGAATCGCTGTCACTGAAGGCACTTGAGCCATGGTTTCTACGTACGTCGATGTCGTATCCATTTTTTGTGTCGTGCCGGAGCGACATTTTGGTGGTGAAGAATGATCTGAAAAGGAGACGGGAGCCAAGAATAACCAAGACAAGTTTTCCGGCTTGCGGTTAGGTGCCTAGATGTGAGTCGTGCTTCCGGGGTCCTTTAATTGGACAGACGGACTCGTCCGCATTCACCTGAAGAGGAATTAGCTCGAAGCGTAAAGAAAGGCCGACAGCGGACCACCCTGTCTGACCGACCGTAGCAGCGTAAATGCGCGACCGCTTTACGTTCATAAAATGGAATATTATTTTTTATATTAAAAATGCCAACAATACATTTTATCATCTACAAACTATATATCTTAAAAAAACATACTTTTACCCTATTTGCCTTAGTACGAGGAAAAATGCTTTAGTCGAAGGCATAAAATTGCGTACAAAATATTTAGATTTCAGCAGTACCTAGATATAATTAATTTAAGCACAGTACTAGATTAACAATAAAGCCTCGTTAATTTAAAATCGAATTGGCTACATGTAACCTTAAAGTTCCATCCTAATAGTTTTTTTTTTCTCACGCTTTCCACCTGTGAAACTCTTTTCCGACTCCATGGTTTGCGCCCAATTTTGATCTCCAAAAATTTAAACGCAAAGTCAATCGCATTCTACTGTCTGTATTTCTTTTGTATTGTTCTTGCATTTTGTTGTTTTTGTTTTCGAATTCTTTAAGACCTAATAATCCCTTGCGTCTTAGTGGCATTACTACCTTGCATGGGGTGAATTTAATTTAAAAAAATAATCCATAGAGGTTTAGTATTCCGTTAACCAAAAAAAACCACCAACCACCCCCAAAAATGTATTTAAATATTTCTCACTGGAATTTGAACTCGGTTCTTCGACTTCCCATTCCGAGCCGTTATCCGTTAACACATCCAAGGTTACAGCTCCTAGTATTACCAAGCTGTCGCCCGTCTAGGTACTAACCAGGGTCCACGTTTGCTTAACTTCGGTGATCGGACAATAGCCGGTGTTTGAACGAGATATGGCCACAAGCCTGATTTAAAACTGAGAGTCTACTGAATCCATCTCTTTCCCGTACAAATTCGTGTTAAATTACAGAACATACTAGGTCATCAAGCCATGCTTGGCAACCAGTCTAGGAGAAATACAAATCTGAAATTCTAACCTGTTAGTGTGTTTGTTTGTTTCTATTTCTAGAGATGGGGGTTTGATAAGCATACATATCACCCTGCAGCCTTGGCCAGACGCGTGGATGGGTTTGCCAGTGAAAACGAACAATGCCTGATATTCTTAAGTCAGTGGAGTTGTGCACTTTGCCGCAAGCGGAGATAGAGTTTTCATTTTCTCCCAGAAAACTCAGCGGTTCTATGTTAACATGTAATATCTCAAGTGAAGGTGTTGTCAGCAGAAAAACGTGGTATCTTCACGTGGGGAACTCACGAGGTACAATCGATTCGGTATTCGCGTTAATACGTGCTGCTGACACTTCGTTTCTACATCTTTGTCAAATGAATATTGCTTCTTTCTATTCTCTATTGAACATTTTGTTTTCGGAAAAAAAAGGCAATTCATGGCAAAATCATTACTCTGGGCTAATATCAAATGATTGATTTTTGAACAAGCCAGTAACACCTCAAACCTTTACCAGCGATTGTTCAGACGAATATCTCATTAACCTTATTCGATACTGCAGCGTTTCAAACTTGTAAGAAAATAATGATTGACTTTAAATCATAGATATAATATTTGTGGAAAAAAATGTTGTATTTCAATATTACTCAATAACATTGCCAATGTGACCTCCATCTTCTGGGTTTCTCCTTCTATATTTTGGATATGTCATTCCTTTGTTTAAATTTAAATTTAATTTAAATCAAAGGGAAAAAATTCAAAGGGCAAAAACAGGTCGATCTGACGCCTTTGATATATATTTCAGGCTATACTTGATCGAATGAATTCGTGAGTACCATTGATATGACAGTTGAATTGTCGCAACGAATAAGTATTGTAAGGCACTACCTACACATTTTGATCTTGCCGATGTTACCTCCATCTTCTGACTTTCTACTTCTATATTTTGCATAGGAGTCATTCCATTTTTCAAATGTAAATTTAATTCAAATCAAAGGGAAAAAATGATCAAAATGAAAAGTACTTATACAAGTACCCTAGGACTCATTCACTTGTTCAAATATAAATTGAATTTATATCATAGGGAAAAAATCGGTGAGGTGTTGTGCTAACCAGAGACACTTTTTGATCAAAATGAAATATACTTATCCAAGTACCCTGGGTAATGTAGTTTCAAAATACGTATGCTTATGGCGGTCTGCCTCAAAACCCCTAGGAATTCGATAACAAACAAACATGCAGAGGCTGCAACTTCATATATATAGTGGTTTTCCAAATGTAGCTTAGATGTGGCACAAGGCCGAAAGAAAAAGGAACAGCGTGAGGATAAAACTCATTACTCAGTCGTAATTTTTCAAGCGAGATAAACTTGCTAACCATTACACCGACTTGAGGCGCCAAAAAACAACTTATATATATATATATATATATATATATATATATATATATGTGTGTGTGTGTGTGTGTGTGTGTGTGTGTGTGTGGGTATTGCGTGCGTGTAGTTTTAAGGAGTGCTATATTTATGGGATAAAGTGATACATATATATATATATATATATATATATATATATATATATATATATATATCCAAGTATAGGATTAGCGTATATGGAATAAATTTCAATAAACAAAAATCCTATTTTTAAAAGAGTACTCAATACAGAGTAGAGCAATATAATTTATACATATATATATATATATATATATATATATATATATATATATATATATATATATATATATATATATATATATTTATATATATATATATATGTGTGTGTGTGTGTGTGTGTGTGTGTGTGTGTGTGTGTGTGTAGATTTAAGGAGCGCTATATCTATGGGATAAAGTGATCAATATCAGAGATAGAGCCTATGTAAATATAAATATAAAAGTGAACATTGAAGTCAACACCTAAAGGCGACAAGTGATTTCGTCTAGCATGAAACAGCCTGACGCCTCTGAGTTATGTTTTCAACGTTCCTTATATATATATATATATATATATATATATATATATATATATATATATATATATATATAGTGAAAGTTTTCAATCAACACTTAGAGGCGACATGGTGTTTCGAGTTCATCTTCATATATATATATATATATATATATATACATACATATATATATATAAGAGTGAACATTGATGTCAACAGTCAGAGGCGTCAGGCCGACGATTGCGTCTATCATAAAACAACCTGACGTCTCTGAGTATTGACTTCAAATTTTCTCTTTTATATATATGTGACGTCGTCTCCCGGTCGCAGCGTCAACTGTGTCGTTCGATCCCGTTCGCGGCGCCAATTGTGACGTCACGTGCTCCCCAGGCTCTGATATCCTGGTCACGGACAGCACCAGTTGTGACGTCTTTTGTCGCGGCGTCAGCTGTTCGCTCCTCGCTGCTCCAAACGTGACGTTCTAACCCTTTGGTTAGACTGATACCAGCCTCGTCGTTCTCAACCCGCTTCCAACGCCTGGTTACCAGGGTAACTGCACTGATCTCTGGTTGTGACTTGATCTTAGACAGACGAGATCAAACAGGGCTTGGGGCCGTAATGCAAGTTGAGTCTAACGGGGGTGATAACACACAATTATGTATAAAAAAAAAAAAGAAACATAAAATAAAAACTCACAAGGTCCAACGTATCAAGAAAAAGGTAACAAACTTTTTATGTCTAATTGCTCGGTACATAGGACTATGTCTACTTCCCGACCCGTTCTGTGGATTGTGGCACGACGCTTTTTTTTAGGCAACTTTAAGGCTTCCAGTTGTCTGCTCTCTAAGAAATTTGTGTTTCGGCGTGTCCTTGGACGAAAGTCGAAAAAAACTTATTTCTGTCGTCTGATTTTAAGTCGCTCTTCAAACTACTTGTTCTTGGTTGAAGAAGAGTCCAGAAGTGTGCGTGAATCTTGGTTAGCTATCTTGACGCGGTTTCAACACTGGGCGCTCATCTCTGCTTGTCGTTCACGGCTCAAACTCCAACTCAAACTCTCTCGCCGTCCGCTCTCAAACTTCAACTCAAACTTCTTCTCTTCAGAGTCTGAATTATTGGTCGCTCATCTCCGCCGTCAGTGCGCGAATTAACTTCTTCTCTTCGGCTTCTGTTGGACGAACTTCTTCACTTCGGCTTGGGTTGGACGAATTTCTTCACTTCGGCTTCGGTTGGACGAACTTCTTCACTTAGGCCAAACAACTGGCCTCTCTTGCCCGCAAAGGGGCGAATGAACCGGGCCCGCCGTCCGCGCTCAAACTCTCTCGCCGTCCGCGGCGCAAACTCTGATTTCTGTCGGTTGGGGTCCCGCTTCTATTGACACAGTCAAAACTGGGGTGGGTCCGTCGGCGCCAGGGTTTTCTCTTTTGATAATTCTAGATACGTATCCACCCTTCCCATTTCTGGTTAGGGATTTTCCATTTTCGGTAACTCAGTTTCACTCCTACTTCCTTACTGTGTCTCTGAGGGGCGTATACCCTCTTTCCCGCTTTTTCTTATCGGATCCTTACACTTCCACTTCTGACAAGGGCGTCGACCGATTCTCCTCGTGCGTCACGTGACCGCTCTCGGCCAATGAGGTCCTGGTCGGGTATCTTTCCTCCTCCTTCGTGTGTTATGTGATCTTATTTAGCCAATGACGTCCTGGTCGGGTATCTTTCTCCTCCTTCGTGTGTCATGTGATCCCATCTAGCCAATGACGTCTTTAGTCGGGCGTGGACAATCCGTGGCTTATTTCTGGGGGAAAGAAACACCTTGCTAAAAAAAACAAAATATTAATTTAAATCGCCCTTATCATGAACGACCCAGATGACGCTCTCGGCTTTTTAACACGTGGTATTTGTCAAGCAGTTTATCGCTAATTGGATATGACCTAAGAAAGGGATTTCTCAGACCTGTTGGCGTTTCCGTGAACGAATAAAAATATTTCACTTTTTCCCGACCAAAGGCCCGATAATAAAAATTTTCATTATCTCAAAAAAACATTTTCAGCGAACATCATCTTGTGTGGCTTTTTCCAATTCTGGAAATTGTCTCTGTTTTCGTATTAATGGTTTGTCTTCATATCCTTAGATACACTCACCACCTGTTACCTATCATATTTTTCATTGTCCCTAAAATTCGTTTCTTCAACCATTTGATAACAAACTTCCATTTTTCGTGGACACGGAAGTAGGTCAGGTGCTTGACCTGGATATCTTTCGACATCTGTTATGTGTCAGCCGAGCGTGTGTGTGCTCGCTTATGACCTGTTTTCGTATTATTTTTTTTTTATTTTTCTTCTGTCTTCTCTTTCTTTCTCCCAGATCGCTTGAATGTAAAGAAAGAATTATTCCTAACCCCGAAATATTTTTCAGCCCTAAATAATTATCAAATGGTTGACAAACCGTAAAAAACAAATCATATATTTATGAATATTTCTTTTCAGCTCGCTAACTATGCATGGTGTCACATATATATATATATATATATATATATATATATAACAGAGAGAGAGAGAGAGATTTGAAGCGTGTTCGTATATACGAGTGTCGGTTGAAAGGTTCATAGGCTGACTATAAATGAATAATGCTAGAGTTGTGAAATATTGCTAGCATTAATTATTGATTCTTATTATTCATAACTGCATTACTTTATTCTCGATAAACTGCCATCTGACTATTCAGTGATTACTTCAAATGTAACTAGTAGCAGCTTCTCTTGAAAATGGACAAAATTTGGCATCGTAGTAATATCAAGTATCAGTAAAAAGGTTTAGCCTCCAAAGATATTTATCCCGAAATGCTCGTTACTTTAGGCGATGACGCCCCAGATTTATCAACAGTTCGAAAGTGGGCAGTTGAATTTAGGAGTAGAATGGAGTGTTTTTTTAAGGTGCTCTAAGGTCTGGACGTTCAACGAT